ATATTGTCACAAAAAATTTGGTTTATGAATACTGGTACTAACTGACCGTGTCCACATGTGCAAACTACAACACTTACTAGTCCAAAAACACAAATGAAAATATTGTATTATTCTCTTTGCGGTGTAATAATATTCATGGTCTGAAAAGTGAATGTATTGTAATAGTCAGTTTGCAACTTGAAGGTTACATAACATAATTAACTGCATTTGTATGCATTATCAACTACGTTGCTTTAGTTGGAAATGGCACAAATACCCTCTGCTTCGCTGACATATCTCGTTGAAATCATCATTTTAAATTTGTTTTTTCTATTCCTTTTATTTGCACAGCGATATGATACACATTCATTCCACGAGTCGGACAGCTGAGAAGATGGCACTTACACTCTTGGACTATTTGTTTGATAGAGAAACACAGGCTTGTTCCAATGTGTCTGGCATGAGCAAACACAGAAAGAGACAATTGGATCCACTTATGGTATATGGAATAAGATGTGAGTCATTTTAAATGCTACTGTAGCAGTTTTCTTTTCATATCTTTACTTGTTAAATTGTGACAACAGGCATTATAACTCAAGTGTGTGAAAAATCAAGAACAGCTAGGAATGAAAATTTGTGCTTTCCTGTGATTTACCATACAAAGTAGCATTTACAAAAAATTATTAGATAGGGAAATATTTGTTTGAAGTTTGGTAATGAAGTCTGCCCAAAATCAACTTGAGTAGCGATGAACTCATGTTTACTATTAAAATCTATCAACAGGCTGCCATAGATATTTTGTTTCAGACCAATTGAACACTTTTCAAAATCATACAAAAATAATTTACTTAAAAGTCATAATCAACAAAATTGCCTTCCTAATTTTCAATTGAGCATACACAATAACAGTTCTTCCATGAACTATGTTGTGTTCATTGAACTTCGACCAAAAATGTGCACGTCTGTGCACATTATGCATTAAGGGAATCTACTTCTAAAGAAAATAATGAAATCATCTGTATTTATCTCACAGTACATATGAAACCATGTATGATAAAGAGGAGTTACTATTCGACAACCCTGTGATATACAGATTACTTTTGATCTTGGGACCAAAATTATTTGTAAATGCAACGCGATATGATTGTAAATATTGCCCATATTGTCATAAAACTAGACATATGCCATGTTTTTATTTGCACATTTTAAGATTGAAGAATTAAATTGTAATTTTTACTTTTCACACTAATACACCTGATTGCAAGAAACATAATTTACAACTTTGTTTGGTAGATTGCGTGCAAGAACACAAAGTCGGATGTTTGGGCACAAAAATCACTGGTAGCCACATAAAAATAACATGTATAAAAGAGCCTTTGTATTTTGTTTTCAAGCATATGTCCAGAAAAGGGTATTGGTATAGAGGAGACCCAACTGTCCTTGAAATACAAAGTAGACTGAAAACCTCACCATGGGTTCATGAAGGTGTCTGCACAGTACTTCTAGAAACATCTTGTCTGAAAAAACACTGGCGCATACATAATGTTTTTCTGTTGATGGTTGAAAAGTGTTTTGAAGCATTATCATTTTGCTTTTTGTCTGACACTAGTGACAGGTTATGGACATTTTCTGATTTCATAGTATAGAATGTAAATACACTGCTTTATTACACAATGCCAGTTTTGTAATTACAAAATAGTTTTATGTAAACTATGCTGAAAAATGTTGATTGCTGACAATTTTACTATAACTTCAACCACAAACCATTTTTATTTTGTTTCTTTAGGTCATTTGATCCACAAGTTTAATATAAGCGAAACAGACTGGCACAGAATTAAACAGAACATTGACTCCAAATGTCGCACAGCATTCCGAAGAAAACATAGAGGGCAGGCTCTCACAGTCAAAGCTTTTGCACGTAAATCACCATCATCTAATACTACAATATATACACACCAAATGGCAGAAAATGGGGAGCAAGAAATGCATGTAAGTATGCCTTAATTACGGTATATTCTGACTTCAAACTCTGACCAGCCAAATTATTTTTTGTTTTTGCATTTTCAAAAAACATTTATGCATATTGGTCTGGCAAGGGGATTACATGAAATAAATAAATGGCAATATTAGTTAACATAATGTAATAGTTCTTTTCTATTTCAATAATGAACTTTCAAAAATAGAAGATGGTGTAGTACTTGCGAAAACATCAAACATGCTTACTGATGGATGTTAGTTTGTTGCAGGATTGATTCAGAATATCCTGTTGGTGACCATTTTGATTTATTATTCAAGTGTCATTATATAATTCCTTGAATTTATAATAAATTAATTTATTTCAAAATGCTGAAAGGAGTAGATACTTTACGTTCTACATTCTTGCATTCTCAATTGTCACTTCCACAGTACATGTATATAAATACATAATTGACAACAACCTTCCTTTTTTTAGGACCAAGTTGTTTCCCAAGCTGCGGTGGAGCAGATACAACAAATGCAGCAACAGATACACATTCAACAAGTGGAGGAAGGAGAAACCATAGTACAGCAGGGAATGCCAGAACAAGTAACAGTACAACATGTACAGGAGCAACATACGATAATCCCTGAACAAGTTACTGTGCAAGTCACGCAAGGTGGTGAGACAATCCATTTACAGGAGGGCGATACCATACAGATAACACCAGGAGAAGGAGTCAGTATCCCACAAGGGGAGATTCAGATTGCTGTGAATCCAGAAGTTCAAGTGCATGAGATTGATGGAGAGATACAGATACAGCATCCTGTGCAATTACAGCAGTCTTAGGAGAAACACACACAGCATTAATTCTATTTTTAAAAAACAACTCAGTTAAAAATGTGTGTAGTAATTTTCCACAGTTTTGGTTCTATGTGCCATATAACTAGCATCTGCTAGGTACAATTGTTTATTGATCGTGACATTTTGAGTATCACTCAAGTCTTGTACAGCAAAACCCATAGCGTTTCTTTTAGTGCCATCGTTAAAGAGACAGTCATTGTACCTTTGCCATGTTTGAAGCAAGTCTTGTACAATATATACTAGTAAAATACATTGTTTGTTTACACAAAATCAAACACATTAAAAATACAAACCTACAAATAGTCTATTAAATACATAAAAAAAAAAAAAATTGTTTTAGTTTCGACTTTGTTCACCAATTTCTATTTCTAGTCTTTTGCAGCTAGTGTTGTTGCTTCCTTTGAGATGTGATACACCTTTTTGGCTTAGAATGTTATTTAAATGAATTTTTTCCAAAATGTGTATTTCATTGTAAATTATTTATGGGAGTATGGTATCTCACTTTTGTTGCTTGTAGTTATAGGTTTTTGCTCGAAAGTTGCACACTTTAATTTCCGAAGTGTTGAGCTTTGAATGAATATACTGAATATGAAATTTATATATAAATGCTTCCTACAAAACATTCAAGCAAGCATTTTCAAATTCAAAATGAACTTGATTTCTATGAATTAATTTGTTGACCATCAATATTGGTATGTTATGTAATATTTTGTCTCTCAAACATATTTTTTCCTGACGCTTGTATTTTGTCTGTACTTATTCTTTCAAGAGAGATGCATGTACAAACAATTTGATATTGTCTAACTGAACATTTATTTATAATACAGTACCCAGGGTATACACAAGTCTGTCAGAAAAATGCAAATCTTTCAATGAACTTTCAAACAAATACATTTTTTACATACAGTAAAATATATACAATATGAACATGGTTTCAGGTTTTCTCTTTTTTAATAATAGTTAGTATACTTGTATTACTAAGCTTTACAGAAATTATAGTTTTTAAGTTAAGAGTGGTAAAACTCAAGGCTTGATAAACCAATCAATTTCATAAGCAATTGTAGCTGCATTGTTACAAGATCTCACCACGTAGAGATTGTTTGTTGAGGGATTTCCACTAAAAAAAGTAACATTGATGTAAATTGCGCTCAGTAAATAAAAAGGAAAGGATCTCGTAATTTTGCGTTCATACCAGCAATTCTTACAAGAGGCGTAAATAATGGTGGCCACTGGATAATGCACACATTGGCACTGACTCATAGACAGGTATTGTATCAACTGATTGTACATTTGTCTGTCGTGTACTTTTAAATTCAAGCATTAATAAGCATTTCTTTTCCATGTAAAAATATACATACATACATAGCATAGAGCTAATCTCTTTTTTTTGCATTGCGAGCCTGCCTATTTTGAAAGTTGATTTAAGGTAGCGAGACTATTATTTGTGTTGAAAATTACGATTTTCACATTTATTTACTAATTGATGAAATGCACTATAAACTTTCATCTGATAAAGTCAACGTAACCTAGAATGTCATGCAAGTTGGTTAAAATGTAGATTTTCTGAAGGGAAGCAAGGCAGCTCCAGTAGTGTTTTACAAAATCAACAACACAGGTTTAATCTGTGTGCCTATAAGTTTCAAAGATTAACTCAAGACAAAGCAATGTTAGGATGTGTTATCAGTAGCTATCTGACACACAATGAGTGTTTCCAAACATTTGAGTTGTTGGTCTCCGCCCCTGTTTATTTCACAGATTAGCATTTGCATATGAATGTGTCAGACACAAGGTCACACAGCCACTGAAAAAAAATCATTGATTTTGGTGTTTTCATCTGCCGATTTTATCGAATTATAGCTATCCCATTCCTTTATTTTTCGGTTTCCATAGCATTACACATTTGAATGCCCCTACAACATGTTAA